TGTACCTTATAAATTTGTAAAGTTTGTAAAGACCTATTAAATACTTGCATAATTTCGTACGTTCATATTTCAGGAAACAATGAGCTAAGACTTAGCTTACATGTAAGAAGTCTAAATCTACGCCATATCCCTTAAAAACCCTAACGACAATTCGCTGAAATACAATTAACATGATATGTCATCAAGCAAACAAACGCTGAAGTTAATATTTGATATGCCGATTTTCGCTAATTTTAGACACATCCCAAAATATGCTCCCTATTTTGAATATTAATATCTCCGTGAATTTTTAAGTAAAATACAACTGTAACATATCAAAATCTAAGTTAGTCGTTCCTCTATTTAATGCAAGTTATTTCTGTTTGATAGCTTTACTTGTTTAGAAGTTATTATAAATCAAACCGGAGTACTTTTTTTTGGGACACCCGGTATATATATATTGCTCGATATACCGAAGTGCTCGATATACCGAAGTATAGAGCTAAAAAGACAAAATAAAATAAACCTGGTTTACTGCATAAGATTTTATTCACTACAAACTTATTTCGTATGACAAGCAATAATGCTTGCCACACTCATCAGGTGAATTTAAATGTCGCGCTATGTTGTTGCCAAGGTTATATATATTATATACATGTTTGACGTAAACGGAATGCTCAAGTATTAGATTACATATAGATTTCATATACAGATTATATTAAGTAATATTACTTAAAGCGCGACTGTGACGAAAATTCATCATCGAAAAAATTCCTTAGCAACGACTTTATTATTGCACCAAAAATGCTAGTGTAAAATTTCAAGCGAACATAATTACCGACTGCAGAGTTACGAGTATTTGAAATGTCCAAAATTGCTGTCGGCCATTAATGTCCGCCATCTTGATTTTATGCTGTCGCGAGCATAGAGATTATAAATAACACTAGAGGAGGCAGCGAGTTTAAAAATTGGGAACGCAGCTAATGGGGGGCAAATTCAAGTCCCGGATATAAAATCGTGCTCTCATTGGCTGATTTGAAACTCGTCACCAATGAGAACACGAATACACATCCGGGACTTGAATTTGGCCCCCAATAGTCGCGTTCCCTTTTTTTACTGAATTAAGATTGCAGTGCCTCCTCTAGTGTAATTTATAATCTCTATGGTCGCGAGAGGCTTGTGACGTCACAGTCTCAACACACCGCAACGGCACAAGTAGAATTAGTAAGCAAACGTATATTACAAGAACTAAAATGTCAGTTTCGTCGCGATCTAGTAACGTTTCGTAGTATTTGTCTGAAACAAATTCCTCCGCATCTCATCTGTTATAAGAGCGAATTGAAGCGAACCTGACAATGAATTTTCGTCATAAAAAAAGTTTCGTGAATCTTCCGTGAAAGAATTAGCTTTTCTTTGTTGTGAAGTACTGCATTCACAAGAGAAGCAAACCGGCACCCTTTCTCCGCTTTGTAAAACAACTAATGTGTGAGGGCTCGTGCGAGGGAAATATTAAGATTTTTTTAGCTCGAAAACAACAAACTTAAAATATTTGTGCAAAAACCAGGGGAGTTGAGGACATCGTCGAAAGCTAGGATCGCGGTTCATCAATGACAGTTACCATGAAAATTTCGGAAGTGTTGTCATGGAAATGGCGTAAGATCCGCCATGTTTTTGGCGACACATTTTTATGCCTAGCAGGTCCTCCAGTAATATAGTATAGCTCAGTGGCCCAGATCTTCATCAGTGCTTACGGATCGAAAGCTTTGCATTGTTTGCAGTAATAAATTTACGTGGTGTTTCCACAAACAAAACTACTATATGTTTTATCGCTATTCAAACCTACAAAGAATTTAAAACTATTCTTAAAATTATCGTGTTACCATGACAACTACTTTCAATACTTCATGTTCAGAAAACATAATGGTTTTGTCAGTAAGGTGAGGGTTTCTGCATCCGTGTATTTCCTAGTCTATACTAATAAATTGTACGAAGGGAGGACAGAGCGCTGTCCGCCGGATATTGATTCTTTCAAGTTTTCTAAAGTTGTCCGTTTATATGTATAACGCAGGCAAAACTTTCGTATTTGTAAATTAAAATTTCTTTTGATTAAGTGTAATTTTGATATTCGTAGTTTTATACCTTTCCAAACATTTTTTAAACGGTTAAGGAAATCACTATAGATGGGTATAGTGCTATTCGGCCTTCACACAACCTGCTCCAGTGAACATGCGCAGAATATACATGCTGCCGTGTACTGAATAAGGAAAATTGCTGAATTATTTAAAAGAAAAGTCGGCAACGTTTCTGACTTATTGGTAGAATTTCTAGATCAAGAAAACACAAGGACGTACAAACCGATATGTCGTTGGAGGCGGGGAGGAGGGTTGGACTCAAAAAGTTAGGCTCCTTGATTTTGGAACCCCCCTCAAAACATTTGGCGGAGAAAATTTGGAGTGGAGGCAATGTTTTCTTGCATAAAATGAATGGTCCAAAAAATGTTTCCAAACTTTGTTTTTGCTTTAGATTTTCAGAATTTTTTCGACCTCAATTTTTCACAATAGTCCTTGATATTTAGCACGTTCTGTAATTCCAGCATTTCGGAGGCCCTTTCCTTGACTTTTCTTTGAGGGGAGTTACACCCCCACGGAAACCAAAACGAAAGGCGCTGAGAAAACGTTATAGGCCCAAGAGAAATATAAGGTGAATCAAGCACAATTAAAAACTACTTAATTAAACTTACATTTTGAGCCTTATTTCAGCAACAGTGTTGTAATTACTAATTCCTAATTATTTTTTGCGTAACTTTTAGGTTATTAATTACTTGTTGTACGAAAGTAGTTTTGTAACGTAATTAATTACTTTTTATGAAAGTAACGACTAACATTCTGAAGAAAGTAATTTGTGTCACTTCCTTGTGCTTTTTAATTTTCCCAACCATGCCATAGAAATTTCAGAAGGAAATGCAATTTGAAGTTGAATGTCTGTCGAAGGTTAGTTAACTGGTCATGCGACTGCACAGAAATTTCCCTACCTCAATTAAATTAAATAACAATTCAACGCAGTTGAATTATACGATTTGTTTTGTATGTTGGTTTGGTGCATTTTGATATTGTAGCAGTCCAATCTTATTATCACCTAAGTAAAAAGTAATCTGGCAAGTAATTAGTAATCATGCAATTCCTTTTTAAGTAAATTTTAATTTGTAATAATCACTTTTCCGGTGAAGTAATTGTAATTTTTACTCATTACTTTTTTGGTAATTTCAACAACACTGGTCACCACAAATAGGTCGAAATAAAGTAAAACAAAAGAGCTGGAAATTCTTCACTGAGCCCACAATGTCATGTAATTAATGGTCAGCAATATCACCATTTTTCTGTGAAATTTCCATTAATGCATGTATCATTGCTGAATGTTTCAAGAGAAGCAACCTCCATATATCGATACACGTCGCGAACGGGTAACTTAGGATCTGCGCCGGAATTTGTCTAGTCCCCCCCCCCCCAGAATTAAGAACAGTCCTCTGCTTCCTTATCTCCCTTTGGAGCCCCTGAACGTACCGATAATATTGCTTACCATCATGAACTGTGGTAAATTTAAGATCAAAACCGCTTTGTTGAACACTGTCATCTGTTACCATTTTCAGTGTGACGACATTCAGGCCAGGTACAAATGGCGCCGGGGTAGTGGTCCCACAAAATGTTTGTGATAAAACTCCAGATATAATGAGGTAATCTCGACACTTCTTGTGTTCTGCAAAGTAAAGAAGTAAATATAGCACATATTAATAATATGTAAACTCGAAGACTACATACCTAACCAGGAAATATATCATGCATGATTTATACAATGATCTCATTACGCATATATTTTACTACGCCTGGCAAAACAGGACAAACTTTTGCGAATTTCTCATCCAATTTTTAATCCAATTTAACCAAATTAATCAATTTGTCCATGGGCAATGTTCAATAATTTTTATCAGCATTATTAACACATTCGCAGAAATTAGCGACAAAATGGCCACTGCTCGTATACTTATTTTGCATATAATCCATATACAATGGCTTTCAGTTCGTACTGGGAGTGTACAGGGTGAAAATATTTAACTCGAAATTATTGCAATCTGAGAGCTCGGCTACGGTTTACGACTTTGTCGTTAATTTTTGGCAATGAATTACATGCAAATCTCAGTCGGGAATGTTTCCCGGTTAGCTGCGCAGGTACGAACAGGCCTACCAACATGAACTACGTTACTTACCGTCTTCATCCCTCTGCATGTCAAGCTTGGTGAAAGTGAAAGTGATGTTTGTGTCCAAGGGTTGTCTGATTGTAAGGGTACAACTAGTGGACGAGGAGTAGTGGCTTGGATAGTTAGGCGACTTAATCTGTCCACTTGATGCTGTAATCTCCCTTGTTGGGCAAATATTGATGGCTTGGCCTGTGGGAAAAACAAGTACAACAGTAATATTTCTACTATAAGGGGCTGATTACATGGAGAGTTTTCAGCCCGGGCTGAGTTTCAGCCCGGTTAAACGAGCTGAAATTGCATCACGATTACATGAGCAGTTTCAACCCGGGCTGAGTTTAGTCAGAGCTATATTTATCATCAACCCGGGCTGAAATGTCAGCCCGGGCTGAAATAATCTGAGTGTCACGAAATAGGTCAATAAGCGTGTTACGCTTCTTTGAAGCAATCAGACACTGATTAGTCCAGTATTTGACTTGTGTGAGACTGTGGTTATATGTAAAGTATTTAAAAATTAAACAAACACGCAAAATAAAGCCATTTAAACGGTTGTTTTTTAGGCCGGGCTGAAATTATTCGCGATTACATGCATGCCGGGCCGAGTTTCAGCCCGGGCTGAAATTTCAGCCCGGGTAGCTCAAACCGGGCTGAAATTTCAGCCCGGGCTGAAACTCAGCCCGGGCTGGAATTTTGGTCATGTAATTGCTTGCTGTGTTTTACTAGGATTTTATCCTTAGGCCGGGCTGAAATTTCAGCCCGGGAAACCGGGCTGAAACTCAGCCCGGGCTGAAAACTCTCCATGTAATCAGTCCCTAAATCTCCATTATTATATTACATCATTAATTTGAAAACAAAAATTTTTCAATAAACCCAGTCTACTAAATGCCCTCAGTCTACTAAATCAAGTGGTCAGTTAAGATGGCGGCAATTTTCTTGAGCTCCGTCACATATTGAGAATTTTTGCTCTTCTAGATCTGTCTTTTGTGTTGTTATTGTCAATTCATGTTGTAAAAATGAGTCAAACCATTAAACTAACTCACTGTTAATTTCTGGCTATCTTGGATAAAAAATTAGAGGATAAATTGGGGCCGATTTCTGGAGTAATAGACGACCTTGCGGAGAGTGTAAAATTTATTAGTGAAAAATTTGATCTAATCACTAAACGAATTGATAACCTTGAGACTAAATACACGACTGTGGAGAAAGAGAATAAGTGCTTGAAGGCTGAAGTACTAAGAGGCTGTCTCTGTAAAAACCACCCACTAAATTTCAATGCAAACTTAGATTTTTCTTATACTGTAAGCTCAGTTTTTTTTTAATTTAGCCACAACAGTAGTATAGGGAAGAGGGGCTCTGGCGCGGGTGGATCGGGTGGATCCACCCATGACTTCATCACAGTATAATTTCATATCAATTACACGCGCTTATAATGTATTTAAAAGGTGTGGGCCAACGATTACTACATTAGTACATTTTAAGAATTACTACATTTTAAGATTACTACATTTTAATACTTTGCTAATATTTATCCCCACATATATTCCTTCTAACATACTGAATGAATTTTAACACTTTCTCGATATATATTCTACTAAAGTTGTTGTAATGCTTGTGGGACGTAGATATTGTACGCATGCGCAGTGAGAATTGTGTATTACAAAAATTCCTGACTTATAAGAGTTTGCAAAGATTCCGGGTGGAATTCAGCTGAGAATATCCCAATTTATTCAAAATTTCCCGAAATTATAAATGACAATAAAAATAGAGTATAAAAGGTATATTTGAATTCATCGTATTATAAAGTTTTATTAGATTATCTTAGAGTGTCCACTACTTTAACACCATCCTTGGTTTTCGTGGAGATACATTCACCATGTTCAGGACAATTAAACAAGGAATAAGAAAAATTCAGACATACATATGAAAATTTTTAAACAGAACTAAACAGTTGCTAAGCCCAAGTTAAAATCGTTGTCAACGCCGTTGTTATGGCCGATATTTGCATATTACAGAGTCATTAAAAAATGATTAACCCGCCCACCCTGTTTGTATATACACAATTTTTTTTTTCACCCAGCGAGCTTGAGACAGGAAAAAAAATACTAACGAACGCAGAGTTATTACAGATTATATGCAAGATATATCGAAATTTTGTCGTTTGTGGCTCTCTAACACGTATACCGCCAAAGTCATTAACAGTCATTAATGGATTACAAGTAAACTTTTAATCTCTTAACTTAAGTGCTTATTATGGATAGATAGGGATTATTTATTACCTTAAAATCGCGCGCGTGGCTTTGCAGGCAATCGTTTGAACAAAGATTTCACTTTTAAATCTTTTAATTTTTTTTTCAATATGCACTTTTGTTTGAGACGTTGCACTACCCGGTTCGTTATCGTGACTGCTTTCATCATTGTGGCTGCTTTCATCATCCGAGAAATTGATATCCTGAGATACTGTGTGATATCCTAAGATACTGTATGATATCCTAAGATACTGTATGATATCCTAAGATACTGATATCCTGAGATATTGATATCCTAAGATACTGATATCCTAAGATACTGATATCCCAAGATATTGACTGCTCCGGCAAATGATTCAAGTTTGCATAGAAACACGGTTCTATGCATTGTTGGCTCCTATACTCCTAGCCCTACATCGACCCTACATCGACCCTACATCGACCCTTATCTTCATCTTCTTATCTTCCTTATCCTTATCTTTATCTTCCTTATCCTTATCTTTCTTATCGTTATCTTTTTATCTTCCTTATCATTATCTTTATCTTGTTATCTTTATCTTCTTATCTTCCTTATCTTTATCTTTTTATCTTCTTATCTTTATCTTCTTATCTTCCTTATCCTTAATAATTCTCCCGCTATATTCATATGTTCAACACAATCGAGCTTGAATGGCTCGGAGCCAAGCTCGAATGGATTAAGGTTTCAATGATTCACTCTTATGATTCAATGATTCAATCTTATGATTCAATTATTCACTCTTATGATTCAATGATTCAATCTTATGATTCAATGATTCACAGAGGAGTAGAGGCTCCTTAGGCTCGGAACCGAGCTCCATAAGCTCGGAGCCAGCTCCTTAGGCTCCGACCAGAGGCTCCATAGGCTTCTAGCGTATGTGAAGCTTCTGTGAAGCTTCTGTGAAGCTTCTGTAAAGCTTCTGTGAAGCTTCTGTAAAGCTTCTGCGCAGAAGCTTCTGTAAAGCTTCTGCGCAGAAGCTTTACAGAAGCTTCACAGAAGCTTCACAGAAGCTTTAAAGAAGCTTCACAGAAGCTTCACATACGTTAGAAGCCTATGGAGCCTCTGGTCGGAGCCTAAGGAGCTGGCTCCGAGCTTATGGAGCTCGGTTCCGAGCCTAAGGAGCCTCTACTCGTCTGTGAATCATTGAATCATAAGATTGAATCATTGAATCATAAGAGTGAATAATTGAATCATAAGATTGAATCATTGAATCATAAGAGTGAATCATTGAAACCTTAATCCATTCGAGCTTGGCTCCGAGCCATTCGAGCTCGATTCTGAGCCTAAGTTGTGTTGAACATATCAATATAGCGGGAGAATTATTAAGGATAAGGAAGATAAGAAGATAAAGATAAGAAGATAAAAAGATAAAGATAAGGAAGATAAGAAGATAAAGATAACAAGATAAAGATAATGATAAGGAAGATAAAAAGATAACGATAAGAAAGATGAGGATAAGGAAGATAAAGATAAGGATAAGGAAGATAAAGATAAGGATAAGGAAGATAAGAAGATGAAGATAAGGGTCGATGTATGGTCGATGTATGGTCGATGTAGGGCTAGGAGTATAGGAGCCAACAATGCATAGAACCGTGTTTCTATGCAAACTTGAATCATTTGCCGGAGCAGTCAATATCTTGGGATATCAGTATCTTAGGATATCAGTATCTTAGGATATCAATATCTCAGGATATCAGTATCTTAGGATATCAATATCTCAGGATATCAGCATCTTAGGATGTCATACAGTATCTTAGGATATCACACAGTATCTCAGGATATCAATTTCTCGGATGATGAAAGCAGCCACAATGATGAAAGCAGTCACGATGACGAACCGGGTAGTGCAACGTCTCAAACAAAAGTGCAAATTGAAAAAAAAATTAAAAGATTTAAAAGTGAAATCTTTGTTCAAACGATTGCCTGTAAAGCCACGCGCGCGATTTTAAGGTAATAAATAATCCCTATCTATCCATAATAAGCACTTAAGTTAAGAGATTAAAAGTTTACTTGTTGATAAATGGCTCGGGTGTCATTCATCTGGGGATAAGTGATCACAGCTTAATCTATATACAGAGAAAAATTTCCGTTCCACGTAAAGAGCCAAAAGTGATTAAATCAAGAAATTTCAAACACTACAACTCAAACAACTTTAAATCAGACCTTTCCACATACTTATATGATCAAGTATTCTGTGATACAATGCTTGATCCAAATATTATGTGGGAAAATTGGAAAACAATATTTCTGTCGGTTGCAGATTTTCATGCACCAGAAAGAACAAAAAAAGTTAGAAGCGAGTACGCGCCATGGATTACAGAAAATATTAAACAAACTATGCGTCGAAGAGACTTTTTAAAGAAAAAAGCAGTTAAGACAGAATCAAAACATTTCCATGATGCTTATAAACGCACACGAAATGATTTGAATAGATTAATTAAGAATACAAAAGCAATTTACTTTACAAATACTTTAAATGACTGTGATAACAACCCAAAGAAAATGTGGAAAACAATTAATAAACTTACAAACAAACAGTCAAAAACAACTGTTATATCTGAAATCCGGAACGATAATCAAAATTTGACTAAAAAATACGAAATTGCAGATGCTTTAAATTCACATTTCAACGAAGTTTCATCTCGTTTGGCTAACAACATGCCACAGAGCTCAAGGACATTTCAGTCATACGTGACTAGGTCCGATACACAATTTACGATACAAAATGTTTCATTAACTAAGGTATATAAGTTGCTCTCTACAATTAAAACATCCAAATCAGCAGGGCATGATAGAATACCTGGTAAACTTCTAAGAGACGCTGCTGAAGTAATCGCACCATCCCTGTCAGCAATCTTTAACACATCTATAAACACTGGTATATTTCCTGAAGACTTCAAGATTGCTATCATTTCTCCAATTCATAAGGCTGGAAGCAAAACTAATTGCGATAATTATAGACCAATCTCGGTTCTATCCTCAGTTGCTAAAATATATGAGAAATTAGTTACAGAGCAACTAGAAATTTATCTTGAAACTAATCACATTCTTGCAGAACAACAAGCAGGATTTAGGAAAAATCACTCTACACAAACTTCTCT